CGCCCATCTGGGACGTGGTGGCGCTGCGGGCTGAACCGCAGAAGTCTGTGCTGCAGGGTCAGAAGACCAGCAGTCGTAAGATCGAATCCACGCGACAGAGTGAGCTCCCGTTGCTTTGTCCCAGTTCCTCGCCAACCTAGCAGTTCTAAAGCATGCAAAAATGTGAGTAGATAAATAGGTACCACCTCGGTGGGAAGGTAAACAGCGTTCCGTGTATAGCCGCGCTGGCCACGTGACAACGGAAACTGTCTTTTGACAAATGCTGGCTCTACAGCTTGGAAACGGGGATGAGCACCACCCCCCTAGAGTCGGACATGACTAAATGTCAAGAGGAACCTTTACCTTTACCTATAGTCATATTTTGAGTGAGGAGGGGATCTACATCTGAATATCCTTGTTTTTCAAGATACCTAGCTTTAACAGCTCAGTGAGTTAGGTGTCTGGCTGCAGAGCCAGAGACTGGGAGTTCAGTTCCCTGCTATATATCCCAGAAGAGCCGGCCTCTGTGGCCTTGGGCAAGTGGCACAGTCCTAGGATGCCCCCCAAAGAAGGGAATGTTAAACCATTTCAAGGTTTTCTCTATCTAGAAAACTCTGGACAGGGTTTCCATGACTCAGAATTAACCTGATGACACACAATTATTATTTTTATTAATGATGTATTGTAAGGGTAGTCCGCCTAATTTTAAACTGAGTTTGGAGGAGAAGAGGAATATAGAATAGCAATCAGTTCCTAACCTAATTGCTTCCATGAAGAATGTCTTTTCAATCTGGCTTTTTAAAAATGCCCTTCACTGCTTTGGTCTTAATTATTTTTAGTTGTCTCTATCTTCCTTGAGCACTATTTTAGTGAAATAAAAGTGACATAATGATGTAGTAATAAAGTGATGACTGTGGAGTCAATGTAAACTAAAGTATGAGTTAAATATGGTATGGATGACTTACCTCTTAATTCTGAAGCTTCCTTCGTCCTTCCTGATGTAGAGTTACATAAGTCAGTGGATGAACCCCCCCACAATGACTTACCTTTTTTTTAGAAAGTAGGCTGCAATATTTTGCATTGACTAACATTATTGAATTGCCATCAAAAGAAAAATGGGCATAAAGTACTGGGCATGTTACTTCACTATCACAAAGGATCTTCTGGGACCTTATTCATTATATTATACTGTGCATCAGAGTGTTCTGTTGCACTTGACAGTGAAAACATAAACCTCTTTAGGGACAACGATCTTGAGGGCCCTGATGGGAATTTCCATAGAGACTAGGAGAGCTTTTGAGTGAGAGGCGTACTAGGTGACGGGTTGTGGTCATTGTGAATGAAAGTATGAATGACTGTGGTTCAGAACATCCCAAAGTTCTTCAGAACAAAACAGAATCAAAGAAAGAAAGTGGAAAAGAAAGAAGAAGATAGCCTTGGCAGAGGAGGTTCTGAAGCACTTAAAGTAGACAGGCATTATCTGATAACATTGTGCAAGAAAAAAGAAAAGAAAGAAATTGAATGGAACCATTTTAAATTAAAAGTTTGTACTGAGCAATGAGTCAACATCTTACCAAACAACAAAGATAGTTTTTTTCCTTGAGAAGTTATGTAAAGCCACATATTTATTGTACATGGCTCTATGCCAAGCCCATTGCCAAGCAGTAAATTATATGGTGGTGGTGTAATGAACAAAGAAATGAAAGAAACTGCTATAAAATGGTTTAACAATAGCCTGGAAGTCTTGGACATTAAATTTCATTCATGGTAAAGTTACTCCAGAGTGTTTCCTATGACTGCATGCAACTGCTGTTCTTCATTTGCTTAAGAAAGCATGTGATGAAGAATGTGGAAATCCTGTTTTCACACAATTGTCATTGTGTTCCACATGGGCTGTAAGATTATTTTCCTGTTCTCACTTCCACATTTTTGTGTGTTTTTATGTGCACTTCCTTTAAAAAAAAATTGGCATCCAGTTTGTTTGTTTGTTTGTTTATTTGTTTGTTTATTTGTTTATTTGTTTATTT